ACACGTAGCTGCCATAGCTTGTCAAAATTTCCCTCATGCAAGTATCATGGAATGGGGGGATTTAACTGAGGTCATCCTTATTCTTTAATGATTTCTATAGCCTCTGATAGAATGAGAGCAGTATTAGCCATAGATTGTGAAGAGGAAAAGAAGGGTTGATGAACTGTTCAAGATTGAATAGATATTACAACTAAATGAACTGTGTGATCCTGAAATGGATCCTGAATCTTGGGGGGAAACTATAAGGGATATTATTAGGGCATTAATTTGAATATGAACTGTGGATTAGGTGATCATAGTACATCAGTGTTAAATTTCACAATTTGATAAATGTACTTTTGTTAGATATGAGAAAATCCTTGCTATTAGGGAATACACACTCTGAAGTATTTATGGATAAAGAGACATTCTGTTTGCAAATTACTTTCAAGTAGTTCAGAAAGAAGTATATTTCTGTGTCTGTGTATGTAAAGAGCACGGGCACTGGCACAAACAATAAAGCAAATGGACCACGTTTGCAGTTGGTGAGTCCGGGTAATGTACAGGGGAGTTCTTTGTCTTATTGCAATTTTTAAGTGTGAAATTATATCGAAAGAAAAAGATAAATGATATTTAAAAGGAAACAAAAGAAAAGAAAAAAACTTGATACAGTGATTATTACTTAGAAGAGATATTATGTTTAGTGTTTTACAAAAATCATATGTCTCTTTGTACTGCTTTACCCCTATTCAGTACAGGCCTTTTCTCGTCCCAGTGATCCCATTGATATGCAACCCACATAGAAGCCTCCTTTGATCACCTAAATCTAAAATAGGTCCTTCTTCCTACCTACTCCTCTTTCATTGCATATATCGCAGTTGTATCATGTTTGCTTTGTTCTTGCTTGATGACCTTTCTCCTTCAAGAATATGAATTCCATGAGAGCAAAGATCACGTCTGTTTTGTTCATGGAATACTCAGTCCTGGTACATAAGGTCAGTAAATGTGTGTTGGATTTGGATCAGTGAAATAATTAATGAATATTCCTTCCAGTTTAGTCACCATACTTTAGCTACCTAATGTTTCAGAAAACAAAATGGCTCCTTTTAACCTGTAAGATAAAGATCCAGCCTGTACTTTTGGATTTGGCATACATTCACTTGTTCATTCAGAAAATCTTTATTGAACACAGCCCTCTGATTCCCTGCTTATCTCTCTAGCTTCCTCTCATCATCTCCCATAACTGCATGCCTTTTTTAGACCTGGATCCTCTGGCTCCAATCTTCTCTTGTAAGTGCCCTTCATATTTCCCTGTCACTCTCTGCATATTTTTTAGACAATATTGCATTTATGATAATTATGCCTACTTTGCCTGGCCATAAATATTGTCCATTTTCCCCGTCATTTTTATATTTTCAATGCCTAGCACTTCTGTGTACAAAATCTGTTGAGTACAGTTACTGAAAGCTTGTCTTTGTGCATTGCATTGGTGTTTTATATATATAGATATATTGTCCTGCTTAATCTTTAAGCTAACCCTGTAAGGTGGGGTTATTATTTTTTTCTGGTAATTAAGGTTCATAGTAGTCCAGGGGCAATGTTTATCTTCTTTACTGCTGTATTCCATGTCTAGCATAGTTCCTGGTACGTAGTAGACAATCTATGAATGAGTAACATTCAAACTTACTAATAATCAAAGATGATATGTAAATATAAAATAGTGAAATATTATTGGTAAGCATTTAAAAACATGATACTGGCAAGAATATGGTAACCTTATTGACTGGGTACATTGCCAAGAGTATAAATTGGTAAAAGAAGCAATTTTGTAGCATATTCTAATAGCCTTAAAATATTTGAATGTTTGACCCAGTAATTTTACTTTTAGGAATTTATCTTATGGAAATAATTCTAAACACAAGAAAAAAATGTATGTTTGTGAGATTAAAAAAATAAAGACACTGGTAGACAGTTAAGTAAATAAATTTCGGTGTATTTACAAGTTGGATGCTTTATAGCCATTAATAGTGATGATTATGAAGCATTTTTAGTAATGTGGAAAAATGCTTATTAAGTAAAGAAAAAGTAATTTTATGAGTGAGGATAGATTTTATAATAATATGTCATGAAATCTTCAAAATTCTACTGATTTAACCTGTTTTTCTCTCTAGCATGCAGTGCCCTACAGGAGCTGGCTGGGGACCTTGCTCATGGTTACTCAGGAACCCAGCTTTGTTACTTGGAGGCTCTGTTCATCAGCTACTTACTTGTCGCTTTAATCTATTGGCTTCCTAGTCACTTTCCCTCATTCATTAAAAGATTTGGTACTAGTCTGTAGTATCACAGGATATCCATGTTAGTCTGTGTTAGTTAAGTAGCTGGGCTGAACCCTGGGGACTGCATTTGTAGAGCATCTGCACCACCCATAAATGGTAATGGTGGGTAGGGTGAGTGGGTGATGGATGAAGTAGAGCCTTACTATTGTCGTGGAGATGATGATGTTGGAAAACCTAGGGATTTTCCTTCGAGAACAAGCTGAAGAAATCATGGGGTAGATGTCAAACATGTGATGTCCTAGGAATCTTCACAGCGATGTAGAATAATCCTCTGCCAGGGTAGGATTATTCATTTATTTTATTTAGAAATTATTGCAGAGCTAGTTCCCAGGAATGCTTAGTCCTTGCTTTAAAGAAGGTTGTTATTTAATTTAGGTGAGAAATATGAAAAGAAACATCATGATGTATGCAAGCAAAGAAGCACATATATAGTACGTGGCACAGCTAATGAGGTGATTGATTCTATGCAACTGAGTCTGTGAAAGAAAACGTGTGTGAGGTTAGGACAGGAGGAAGGCAGCAATCATAGTAGGCAGTGGGGAAGGAGAATTCTAAGCAGAGAACACTGCCTCGTTGAAAGCTAAGAGACTTTAATGGCTCATTTTGTAGTGGGAGTTTAAGCAGTGTGGTATTTGGGAGTGAAATGTTATGGAGTAGCAGAAGGATAGGGGAGGAAGTTGTGGCAGAGAGGGAGAGGCAATATTACATTTGCTGTCTTGGATGTTATTGTAGTGGTGAAAGGCTTGAGATGGCAGAGTTGGAGTTAAATCATCGTTCTCTAACCTATGGCATTACTTAACTCCTTAAGTCTTAGTTTCCTTATCTATAAAATGAGGATGACAGTAGTATCTATGTTAAAGGATTTTTGTGAGGAACAAATGAAAGCATTTCACTTAATAAAGCATTTAGAATAGTTTACTGGGATATAGCAAATACACACAAAATGGTAGCTGCTGCCATAAAAATCATAATTATACATTTTAAGCAGTAGAAAAACTTGATCAGCCTAGCTTTTAGAATGATCTCTTTGAAGGTGGTGTGGAGGATGATGGACTAGGGATTGAGGAGACATGGAGTGGGTTGAGAAGCTTTTGTAAAAATCTAGTGGAGGGACAAGGAGAGTCTGATTTAAGGCAGTAGCAATAGGAATAGGGATAGATAGTCAAGAAATATATGTGTTAGAATTAACTGGACAGATTTGCTGATGTTTATATGTCTGTTAGGAGGACGAAAGACCTAGGATAGCATATGAGAGATTGGGTGAATGTAGATTCTATCAACAAAGAAAGAAATGAAAAATGAAAAGCAAGAAGGCTTAGGAGACAGAGAAGATAAGGAGTTTGGTTCTAGAAACAATAATATTGAAGAAATGCATATAGGAAATTAACTTGGATTTGTTGAGTTTGAGATGGATAATTTAGGAGAGATCTGGGCTAGGTTTGGGAGTCAGCAGTCAACAGTGGTGGTGGCTGCAGCCGTGAGAGTAGGTTAGCTTTACCGTGCAAAGGAGAGTAAGGAAGGCTGAGATCCCAGCCAAACATTGGAGAGTTGGCTCGTTCTCTGCCAGACACCATGCTGCTACGTGGAAAGTTTTTCTTTCACATTGTCATAACATCCCTATAATGTGGTTGTGCTGTATCAATTATCTATTCCTGAGTAAGAACTTGCTGTTAGAAGCAACATAAATATTTCACAGATTCTGGGCATGGCTTGGCTGGGTCCTCTGCTTCAGGGTCTCACGGTACTGCAGTCAAGGTGTTCGCAAGGGCTGGGGTCTTGTCTTAGGCTCAACTGGGAAAGGATCACTTCAAGAGTCAGTTCCTTTAGGGTTGTCAGACTGAGACACTCAGCTTCTTGTTGGCTGTTGGCCAGAGGCCACCTTCAGTTTCTAACTAAGTGGGCCTCCCCATATGGCATTTTACTTCATAAAAGCTCTCAAGGGAGAGAGTCAGCTGGCCAGATGGAAGTTATAATCTTGAGTAACAAGTATGGACATGACATCTCATCACTTTTGCCATATTTTATTCATTGAAAGAAGGTCACAGGCCCTGTCTACACCAGGTGTGTGGGGGGTGGGGAAGCAGTCATTAATTAGAGTGTGGATATCAGGAAGTGGATGTAGCACAGATAATTGGTGCTATCTTAGAGATTATCTGCTATGGGTACCATTTTTATTCCTATTTACAAAAGAGGAAACTGCAACAGTTAAGTTGCTTGCCCAAGATTATATCCTTGCAAATAATGGGGCCAAGCCCAAACTTAGGCTGTCTGACCCCACCGCCTGGGCTCTTCTTACTGTTATATTTTAAGCAGTGAGAAATGGCTGCAGATTTGCGGAGTTTTTTAATGGGTTTTTTTTGTTTGTTTGTTTTTTGGCAACTGGCTGGTAAGGGCTCTGAATCCTTGACCTTGGTGTTGTAACACGTGCTCTACCCAACTGAGCTAACCAGCCAGCCCCTCACTGCTGACTTTTGTTTGATGTCTTTTAATGGAGTGGTGTATGTTGAAGTCATATGATTGTGGTTTCTATGAATGTGCAAGTAGGAAAAAAGACTGAGTAGAGACTACTCTTAAAAATGGTGATTTTGAAAGGAAGAAGAACAATAACCATATGTTGTTATATATTGAATTGTTTTTCTCTAATAATTCAGAAATTTTTCTTTTCTAGGTCTATGAGTTTAACCATTTATGCCATTCAGTTGCCAATATCAAGCAAAGCAAACATAAGCCAGTCTTAATCTGCTTTCAAAGAAAAGTGGTAGTCCTTTTCACAGTGCCTGACAGTAAGTCACAGTTCCTATCTTTGTAACAGTTTTTGATCTAATGCATTTGAAAATATATATGTCCTCATTTTATAGATGAGGAAGCTTTATTTTATAGATGAAGTCTCAGGTTGGAAAAGTTAATGGAAGAGATCTATATTTTGTTGTAAAGAAGAACTTTTGGGCACAAGAAGATGTTTGACCAAATATTTTATTCTTAATGTAAAAAACAGTGTGAAATATACACGTATCAACTTTTGTTCTAACTGCTGGCCTCTTTCTTCCTGAAAATGTATAGGACAGTTATGCTTTTCTTTTTAATAATCTTATTACTGTTTATTTTCTTTAAAGCATCAAGTTTGCCAAATTGTTCAGTTAGCCATCTTAGACATCAGAACCCTTTTGTCGTTGTTGTTGTTGTTATTTATATGGTAAGACTGTGCTGTGTCTTAATGATGAAGGTATTGGCACTTGTAGTTGTGTTTGTAAATCTGGTCACTTTTCTTTTTTTTTTTATTTTGTAGTAACCATATCAGAGGGTGAGGTATAAGCTCACAGCATCCAGAGAAATCATCATGAAGTTATATGTATTTCTGGTCAACACTGGAACTACTGTAACATTTGACACTGAACTTACAGTGCAAACTGTGGCAGATCTGAAGCATGCCATTCAAAGCAATTACAAGATTGCTATTCAGCACCAGGTGCTGGTGGTCAATGGAGGAGAATGCATGGCTGCAGAAGTAAGTCACAGTTCCTATCTTTGTAACAGTTTTTGATCTAATGCATTTGAAAATATATATGTCCTCATTTTATAGATGAGGAAGCTTTATTTTATAGATGAAGTCTCAGGTTGGAAAAGTTAATGGAAGAGATCTATATTTTGTTGTAAAGAAGAACTTTTGGGCACAAGAAGATGTTTGACCAAATATTTTATTCTTAATGTAAAAAACAGTGTGAAATATACACGTATCAACTTTTGTTCTAACTGCTGGCCTCTTTCTTCCTGAAAATGTATAGGACAGTTATGCTTTTCTTTTTAATAATCTTATTACTGTTTATTTTCTTTAAAGCATCAAGTTTGCCAAATTGTTCAGTTAGCCATCTTAGACATCAGAACCCTTTTGTNGATGAAGGTATTGGCACTTGTAGTTGTGTTTGTAAATCTGGTCACTTTTCTTTTTTTTTTTATTTTGTAGTAACCATATCAGAGGGTGAGGTATAAGCTCACAGCATCCAGAGAAATCATCATGAAGTTATATGTATTTCTGGTCAACACTGGAACTACTCTAACATTTGACACTGAACTTACAGTGCAAACGTGAGCTGTATTTTATTTATTCTCTTCAGTTTTGCATTTTGTGTGCATGCAAAAAGTTAAAAACATATTTGATTTTGAGTCCACTGGTAAAGAGTAGTAATACGGCAAGTCTTAAATCTTTTATCCCAACACATTACATAAATAAACAAACTGATTTCAAATTGAAGCTGTTGTTATAAGTACCTATAACCAATTGCTATTCTAAGTTTCACAGGAATTCATTAAGGGAATTTTTGTTAGCTTTGTAAAGCAACGTATATCATATCACTTCCATGTTTTTTTGTCATTTGTTTTTATTGTCTTATGTGAATAAGTCAGTAGGTTTGTTTTGTTTCCTTAATGAGAGAATAAAATAAGTTTAATATTTTAGCCAGATTAATGGGGCTCATATGTCTAATAATTCTCCTGTTTTGCCAGGGTTTCAAATATTTGACTAATGAATACCCTACTATATTTGTGAAAAGTAGACAGAGCTCTCCAGGGAAGGAGGATATATATTGAGGCTAAACTGGAAGAAAATAGTAGTAGTAAATATTACTTTCAAACCTGCTTATATTTTTATAATGGCTGTAATAGCAAAGACTTGATAGCAATGCCAAATAAATCTGACACTAAAATTATTATATATAATTAGTGGAATCAATAATCTTTGTTTTAAAAATGGAATTATGGAATAATTTCATTCACTTGCGTTCATTAAATTCAGTTTTACCTTTAAAGGAATGATTTTTGGAAAGATAAGAAAAAGAAGGAATTTTCACATGGTTTAAACTTAATGTAATTTCTGTAATGTGATGTGAGATTTTAATAGAAATTCTGTGCCGATTTGAGCATATTCCTTTTCTACGTTATATAGAGAACACAAAAATAAATATGTCTACTGCCTGTGACTCACTTTTAGATGTGATACAATGGGTGATTTATTCACCTGTGATCAGCCAGTTGATTATGGAATCTAGTTAGGAAACAGGAGGCTTATACTTATACCTTCTTTTTTGGAGAAAGTTTTAGAGTGAAGTTCATTAACCTGTAAGGCATTTTTACATAGTGCTACTTTGATAAAAAAGTCATTGGGCAAGTGTAAATAACTGATTTTTTTGTCTTTTTTTTCCCGGAAGTGTGGCAGATCTGAAGCATGCCATTCAAAGCAAATACAAGATTGCTATTCAGCACCAGGTGCTGGTGGTCAATGGAGGAGAATGCATGGCTGCAG